TTCCGCTACGCTTCAGACTGGGACTCAATCTTCGACCCTAGTTCCCGTTGCTTTTCCAGCTCCTGCCGAGCCTTCGGAGGAGCTGACCGTGGATTCGCTGCACGATCTTCTTGCTGAGTCCGCTGACGCAACGGTAGACTCCGTAAGGACTGTTCTCTTGCCGTATTTGACGCTGATGGCACGGCACCAAGTCCAGCTCAGCATCTCGCCTCCACTTCAGGGTGACGTTCGCACTCAGCGTCGTTTGATTGATGTGCTCGGCTTCGACCAAGTACTAGCGGCGGTTCAACCTCTCTCCGACACGTTACCGGATCTTCCTCATTCGAAGCGTTAATGTTGTCTTATAGTGTTTTCGTCGAATGGCTGTAGTAAAAGCGCCAAATCCGCGTTGTACACTCTAACTCTTTCTTAAGCCCGTGCAACTACATTCCAGAAGATGACAATTTCTATCGAAATGTGTTGGAGATCGACTGTGCTGACCTACACCCACCACATTGACCTAGGTGTTGTTGTGTTCGTTGTGGGGGTCGCAGTCGGTGAGCTCACCGCTCAACTGAATATCTCCCTGGAAAAAGCTGCCGCTGTTAAGCGTCTACTGGTTTCTGTCCAGCTCCGACTTGAGTCTCTGAAGACTCTTCTCAACAAGCCGGAATTCAAGCGGAGATCAAGCGCCTCAAGTCAGCGAACGTTCGCATTTGGCTCCCTTCTCGAAAAGGGTAAGGAGTCAATGGACATTCAGACGGTGAACCTTAGGCCCGCCATGAATTACGCCGAGCAGAAGCAAGCCATCATCGACGCCTTGGTCAAGCAGATTAAGAAGGAACGCGAGGTCTTCATGACGACGGTCAGTCCGAACATTGAGAACACTCGCAAGCTCCATGACCTGCTGCTCAAGGCTACGTGGGGTACCTGGGTTGATGCTGACACTGCTGCGCTGATCGCCGATCTAAAAGACCGTAATTTGCACTTACTCCGGACCAACCGCGCTCTCTGAGGGTTTGTTAGCTTCGCCGGCATGGATCCCAACATTCTCGCTCTCGCCATCGAAGGTCAGCTGATGTTCTTAGTGTTCCTTCCGATCACTCGTTCACTAACTCATGTTCGTTCTTTCACATTGCAGGCCTTCGAGCTGCCGAGATCGACCTTTCAACACTCGGCCTTGACCAAGACCACTCCAGCAGTTCCGACAAGAGGCTGGCAACCAGGAAGACCCGTTTTGCCCTTGCTGAAGCTCTGGCCAAGACTGCTCAACAAGTTCAGAGTAGTGCTTCCAAGCGTAGTCACCATGGAAGCGACGATGGCAGCTCCGATGATTCCTCTGAAGAGAATACTCCAATTCCATCTGGTCAAGCTAGCAGAGCAGGGTCTGCAGCCGATGCTGGCGGAAGATTGGCTACGGCTGCTTCAAGTCCAACTCCCAGTCGCCGAGGTTTCCACATGCCAAAGGCTTGGAAAAACAAGCCCAAGTCCAAGCGTCAGAAAACGGCCTCGCACTCGCTGGCATCCGCTCGTTCGCGCTCCAGCCTGGCTTCTCGCCGCTCGACGTCTCGGTCGCCTGCGCGTTAACCTTCGGCGGCCCGCGCCAAATCGCCCGCAAGTCACCCCAGATCTCGTTCGCATTCTGTGTCACGCCGTCCGGCCAAGTCTAAGTCTCCCGCATCTCCACCGTCCGCTCCTGCTGCTCCTCCCAAGGCTGAGCCGTCGAAGGACGACCAACCTCCTGTAGTTGTGGACTTAACGCAGGATGGGAGTGACGAGGACATGGAAGAGGAACCGACTGCAGTTCCGACGGAACCCGATGACGCGGAGGTGACTCCCCAAGCTTCACCGACTCCACTGGCATCTCTCCAACGCAGCAACGTGGCTTCTCCACCGTCGCTTCCTTCTTGGACATCGGCTGTTGCCTCCCCATGGGCACCTACCTCTTACGTGCTCGAAATGGAGTTTATTATTTGGATCTGACCATGATGAGGATGCTCCAAGGTGTTCAAAGGCGTCCCGTGAATCTGCGGGGCTAACCTCACCTTATCGCTCTTCCTCTGATGAAGATACTCCGTCACCTCCCAAGCTTTCTGACCGCGCACCGATTTCCAGACAACCATCAATTCCGCCCCCTTGATCTCCCGATTCTTCCGATAGAGATGAGGGTGGCTCCAGCAATGGTTCTCACGATGATAATGGTGCTAGTAGATATGGTTCTCGTGACGACGAACCTTCGTTCGATTTTCGTTCTGATGATACTGCTGGTGGAGAAGATATTCCGCCGCCGACCGACGTTTCTCGAGCATCTGCTGCTGTCGAGGGCTCTATTACCGGTGTTCCGACGACTTCTTCCCCGGGAACTTCCCGAAGCCCCAAGTCATCTCCTCCGGTCATTGATTCCGCGTCCAGTGAAGCCTCGTCCAGGGCGCCTCAAGCTTCGTCTCCAATGTCAAGAGCTCTCACGAGTCCAACGACTCCTCGTCGTCACCATCCGCCTCCGGGGTCTGCACAGAGCCAGGCCTTGCTTCTTCCTCAGGAGGCTGGTCCCGGGCAAGTAATCGTGGCTACGTACACTTCTCGCCGCCGGCGTGGTGATCCTGACCGTCCAGTGCCACTGCCGATGACTCACCACGCAGTCCGTGGCACCCGGCCCGCAGTGTTACCGTCGGCGAGCTTTCCTCGACGGGATCGCCCATTCCTCGATCTCAAGTTCCTCGATTAAGGAGCCAAGAAATGTTTCGAGCAGGTTCTAAGCACTGTGCTGCCGGATCCTACTCCAGGCGACATGACCATCCATGTCGCCCTTGAGTCGCTGAACGCGTTCTTCGACTACACGAACCCAAGTCACCCATGGCAAGTTGACTGTCAGCTCCATCCCGAAGACCCTTTCTTCTTCAGCATGGAAGGATTTGACCCTCCTGCCCCGGTCTCCAAGGGAGCTCCACTGGAAACCCGTATCTACTGCCTGTGGGCGAGCTTCCGTGGTGATGGTCTCATGCCAGATCTTGGCTTCGCACTTTGGGAGCGACGGTTCTGGATTCTCGCTACCGCTGTCGAAAAGGGGTTCACAGCTGAAGAAGCGGAACCCAACTGCGACAAGGATATCATCAAGACTAAGAGGGCCAGATTTCGAGTCCTGATGGGTGGACGGAGCGCTCGGGCAGACCGCCTCCGGAATATGTACCAGCTGCAGTACTTGAAGTGGAGTTTGGAGTCTGCAACGACCTCTCAACGCTCGCCCATCTGTCCAGAGATGATCATCGAGCCTTCCGTTCCCTGGTATTCGGTGGACAACTTGCCGTTCATGCCCAAGACAACCGACTGGCTCGAGGTCGTTCCTGCACTGGTGGACCGACAGCCATGGCGCGCGAACTGGGTGTACCGACCGTTTGATCACCCGTTCAACACAACCTACGTGCCATGCAATCATGAGGGTCGGATCTTCTGCCCCCGCGGTGTTGATGCCGCGATCGTTACTCAAATTGCTAGGGCGATCATTGCCAACCCGTGTTTGCAAACTCCCGAATTAATCCCGGACTGGCAAGATCGCTATCTCACGGGAACAGTGCCTGGGGATTCGACTGCGGCTGCGTCGACAGTAGGCAGTGGTGACGATGATTCAAGTACTCC